ATTTTCCAGTGCTCTTACAATGCCAGACGCCATGCCGTCAAAGTACGTTACACATCTCCAAACTGTCAGAAAAGTTGCCATTCACAGGTTACTTGAAGGCTCTGTGTTGACCACATCCTAACAAAACTACGGAATATGGCGATATGGCGGGACACACTTTTGAACTTAGTTTTCTCTTTTCAGTTGCCAACTATAATTCATTTTGTGAGGAAGATCATCAATGTCTGACGAATAATACGAGATGTGATGTCCCCAAGTGCGCATGTAAGAAAGGCTACAAGTGGGACGCATCTAAGTGCGTGAACAGTGAAGGTAAGTCTGGGCTTACAACCAAAGTGTCAGAGAAATAATGCGGCGCTGCGCCATCTTGTTGTCAGATGTCAAGGGAATCTTTGCCGTTATTCAGAAGTAACAGAAACATTAATTAAGAGGCACATTAATACTAACTAATGGAAAACTGAGAGAGAACCAGTAGCAATTCAAATGGCTCTTTCATGGTAAGTCACATTTGATAAATCATTATTTATTCTGCTTTATATATACGAGTATACATGCATATATAAACATACTACAATAAAGTATACGCACGCACACAATATATATATGCAGTATATACAGACTATATTAAATTATGTAATAGGATTTTCAAATTTTTACTTCCATTACCCTATAGATTTTAATCAATTTAAAGTTTTCTGTTAAATTTGATCTTATGGATATGAACTGTAGCACATCAACGTTAGTTTATGCAACTTAAATTCCCAGACACTACAAGTTTAATAGAAATACAAATATTTATAATTTGGATGCAACACTAGGGTCATATAAAATATGTTTCTGGAACGATCAAGCTTGGATACCGTGTAATTTTGTTCAAGGGAAAGTCAGTATACTTAATAACCCATTTTTTCCAAACCAATGTCCAAGCCAATGTGAAAATACTGGTGCATGAATACATTGGATATATGCATTTAAATTGTAAGAGCTTGTATTACTATGTACGTTATCGAATAAGCTTCAGTTCTATATCCTACAAAGTTGAGAATAGCGGGAATTTTATTATCCTGACAACAACGTAGAATGCCAACTGTGGCACAGTATAATTTCGGATGTTTCCGACACACCACAAACTCGACGATATCTTTGTGGCTTCCTCGTTGTCATTGCAGTACTTCGTAGGATATGATGTTCTCATTTCAATGTTTATGAAGAAAATAAGTCGGGCAAGAAACCAGCGTGAAACTCGCTTGTTACCTGCTTCATGCTGTTTTCTTGCTTGGGTTACTCTTCGACCCAGAAGATTGAAGTGAAATGTTCCTCCGAAACGTCCCTTGACTTTCAATGGAGTATACATTGTTATATTATTTTCATCATATTTCTTGTTCACAGCCCCCCTGATCTTTGCTGCGATTTTTATATTCACTATTTTAATACTGCATCAAGGAAAAGCAATGATTATCAATGCTACATACTTACTCCTTGGTTTCCTCTAACCCCGTACAATAGAAGGAAATTTTGTGTCATTGTTTCTTTTCATGTTACAGGAAAGGTGATAAGCGAGTTTTGCCTGGCGGCTGTCCTACTTACGGTTCCCTTGAAGTGGTTGTGATCAGATTGTGTAAGTGAAATGTAGGTTCATTGTGGAGTAATTAATGTTCGTTGAACAATAATCTTTAAAACAACATAGAATTAAGCTGGAAAATACAGTAGTAAGGTTACATACAGTGTGCTGAATTGACGAGGTAATCGGGTAATTCATTTGATTTTCTGTTCTTCATTCTTTCTATTTAGAATTTTCTTTCGAGAGAGAACGTACATAAAAGACGACGAAAACTTCAGTTTCTTGTGTTTTTAGTAGAATCAACAGGGATTAATAATGGATAAGTCACTCTATCCCAAACATGTAATTGTTTTCCGTATGTTTATGTCTTAGTTTATAATTAGCTTTGAAAGTTCAGTTGCGGTGAGCTAGCGGGCTTCGTCACAAACTGTGCTTTATAGAGAGAGGAGCAAATGGTATATGCCCAGTACGTTCTGAGACCAGCTCAGACATCAAATAATGTGATGTTCACACCCTGAACAATGTTCACTCTCTCATCAGAAGTACCTGGAAATAAACCTACGCAAATTTGTAAGAAAGAAAACCACAGAATTTTCATTGGTTACAGAAATAATACCAATTACAAACTGCAGGTCTCTTGTATATGAACCGTGTTTTATTATTCTGTACCCTTATAATACTTCGGATGAATATTTACACGAATATCCATGGAGATGAATATTAAATAGTAAGACATGAAGTCTGTTCTCATATCATAATCTAGAGCGTTATGGAGGACCATGTTGTGGCTTGATGGAGGCAAGAAATGCAAAGGAATTTTGCTGGAGAATTATTAGAAACCTTTGGAAGACTGAGAATTTAACGCATGAAACAGGGAAATACGTAGGTTGTGAGATTGTGAATTGGATTGAACTGGCTTAACGACTTGCTATTTAGAGAAATATGGTGCTACCGGTGTTGATAACTCAGGTTGAACAACGGTTGAACCGCTCAGTTTGTTGCATCAGATGTACTGCAGCAAACCCTGCGTCGTGACCTACTTTATAGAACTAAACACGCAACCTTACTCTGTGCCAATAATATGACAAATATTTTCTTTCCAGAGGAGCAAAATGGCGGCAATTAGTTGTTATAAATTCCCATATATTTATGGAAACAGAGTCATATTAACCGTTAAAAATAGCCTTCCGAGGACCGTTTCTTTAGTAAGATGAATCCACATGTTACAACATCTGTGAGGTTGCGTCACCATCGGCCAGTGACGTAGATTTTTACGTCATCATTATAATAGCACTAGACTGTACTTTAAACATGGGAATGGAACCAAATTTTCCATCCCAGATATCTTGTTGAACGAACAGTTGTTTCCTTCCTTCAAGTTCCCACGTAAATTACGACGTACACAAAATATGTACCTGTACACACAAACATAGAAAAGCGCAAACAAACATTCATGTCCTGAGTGGGATTCGAACCCACGATCCCGGTTTCCAAGCGAGCGAAGACAGTGCACGCCTCAGACCGCTCGACTACCGTGACCGTCCAATGGAGCCATTAGTGATCTAAATTTCTTCAGCTCTTTGGACTGTACTTCTTTTTCCTTAGGTAAAGTATTTCCCCCTGTATTCTTATCTCAAATACCCTCCATCTACCTTCTTCCCTCAGGACAAGAAGTCAAATTTCACATCCATTAGGCAAAATTATAGACATTTAAGTCAATGGTGGCTATTATTTCCCGAATTTAGTCATAGATTAGCTCGCAGAGTTACAAATTTCTTTATAAAGATGACAATTGTGTTAAGCTGCAGTACGTTTACTACTAATAAGTCCTTAGATGGCGTATTATATACGTGGAGCTGAACCCTTCTTGGTAAGCCGCCAATTGTGCAGCTACTCAAGAATTCCCCAGCCTTTTATAGAACCCGAAGGTTCATTACCGTGTTCACAAGAGCCCTCCACTGGCCCCTATCCTGAACTAAATCAATCTAATCGATACCATCCCATCCTATCGCTCAAAGATCCATTTTAACATTGTCCACCCACCTACGCCTTGGTCTTCCCAGTGGCCTCTTTCCATTTGGCTTCCCCACCATTATCCTATATTCATTCCTCCTCTTCTCATTCATGCTACATGACCTGCCCACCTCATCCTGTTTGACTTGATCATTCCAATTATACTTGGAGAAGAGTACAAGTTTGGTGTAATGTACATAATTTATTTAATTAATCATATAACTTCTGCATGGTTGGAAAATTTCACACCATATGATGGAAATTGTAGTTATAGTTTGAAGTTGTTTATTACGGGATCTAAATATAAAAATGTGTTGTCACAACCAAATTTATAATGGTGCATTTGCTACATAAACCATGCGTAGGAAATTTAATTCATATGTACAAATTTATTATTCAGTGTGGCTCTTTCTCTTATGTTATGAGTCAACACTATTGTACGAACACATTTGAATGTATGAATATTTAATATGTTAATAATTAAAGTAATTAATGACAACTGATAAGGCCACAACACGCCACAACGTATTCATAACTGCCTATAATGAAAATAGACATGAAAATTTTCATCCACTAAAAGAAGCTTTCTTGCAAGAGACTGGAAGTGTACGGTTCGGAGTCATATAAATTCTGTGATGAATTTTCTCGTCTCTTTTACACATTTTATAACATCGCTCCGTTTCTAATTAAAATATTACCTAAAAAGCAAATTTATTGTCAAATTTTTGTATATGGTTCTGCCCCTACTTGTCGCCAGTGGCATATATAATTTTATATTTATTCAGTTCATAGATTTTTAAAATACGAAGTGTTAAATAATTACAGAGATAAGTTTATTTGCCCAAATTTACACAACCTACGTGGAACTTAAGCAACAAATATAAATTATGTTACTTTACTCAAAAGATTTCAACATTTTTATCGGTTTGATTCTTCATAAAAGGTCTATCAATGGTAACATAATATTTTGAGAACAAATTTCTATTTCTGAATATCTTAAGCTTGCTGGAATGTCCATAAGATAAACCGAACAGAAAGCAGTGGGACTCGTTTCGGGATTGGACACCTGACACCACCGTGTGATACCCAAAATTTCCCAATGCTGATTGTATAACATATTCATTGAAACTGTGTACCGACATACTGTGACGTGACGCATGAAAGCTGGAATATTGGAGTCAGTTCCTAGGCAACTGGTATTAATAGAACACGTTCTCGTGAAAACAGTTTACCATGGGATTATTGAACATGCACTTCCGTGGAAACACTCGACTGGGCATACAGGCTACTGTGGAGCTACATGTGTTTCCGTGGTAACACGTGTTCATGCAGACAGTTACTGCAGATACGAAATACAGAACTGTGTCCCCCTATTCGGTACGCCAAGCAGACATGAAACGAATGGATTCGTGAAGTTCAGTTCAGAAACCCGTGTGGAGATGAGGTTGAACACCTCCACCGTGATCCTGAGAGTCATAGGAGGCGAAGGAAAGGGAAGTCTCAAATCTGAGACAGTAAAATATGGTCGCGAGTCCCAAGGTACTCGGCCCCCCAAAAGAGTGCGCTGGCAAGGACCAGCAGCATATACGAAAGACACACCAGTCCTCTCGTCAGAGAGGGCGCCCCACAAAAAGAAGGCAGTAACTGTAAAAAAGTTATAAATATCTGGTCATGAGACCCAGAAGGGGCTCGACACAGAGACTTACCGACTGACCGACCAACCGACCGACCGATCGACCATCAGTCGCAATGTGACTTTGACTCTGATTTCAGAAGTGAAGGCAGAACGTAGAAGTGAAGTCAAAAGTTTAGAAGTGAAGGCAGAACTTAGAAGTCCAGAGTTTAGAAGTGAAGACGGATCTTAGAAGTGAAGTCCAGGATTTAGAAGAGAAGGCAGATCTAAGAAGTGAAGTCCAGAGTTCAGAAGTGAAGTGCGAGGGACCACAGAAAATGTGCGAACTGCTATAATTGAGCGCAATTGTGATAAAGAAGTGATAAAGTAAGTAAAGCTATCCCTGTACCAGGCCGTGAAGGCCCATAGGATTGTGAGACATTGAGAGTCCCACATTATCTAGACAATCGGCTCAAAGATGGCGGCAAGGTTGTCAGCCTTACACTCTGGCCGTCCTTTACCCCCAAGAACATTCCAAGAATATTCTGCTACTCATTTCTGTTAGAGGCTGAGTCGACTTAAGGGCCGTAGTGCGGCTGGAAGGATTAGGTCAATTGAACAAAATCCAACGACTTCATCGGCACTTGAACCCGTGACCTTCGAGCTTGTAGCATAGTACCTCAACCAACTACGCTACCGCGTGTCCCAATGTAATTGGGATTGACGTCAAATAAAGCTAATCATGAAATCTAGAATCCATATTTATTACTCACGGAACCTCGGACACGTGACCATACGTACATATATACCATGTATAATTCTAGCTGAGGGGGGGAGTTATCTGTGGGAACTGTAGCTAGAAATGATAGTTGTTTTTATCGAGGTCTGCACAAGTTTGTAGCTGTTGGGAATTCCAAATAATATGGTAGTGAGTTGTCGAAAACAAATTTCCAATGCTAATAATATTCGTGTTCAGTAAAACTGATTACGGACGCGTACGTGTGAGTGGAATAATGGAGGGGTTATCAAGGGAGTCTGTTGCCGGAGATGAAAGATATTTACTGCGACGCTTTGGCACGATGCTGAATGATGGTCATTACATTGTATTTAGAGGAAAACTGCCTACAGTGACGGGAAATATATTTTGACATTTTATTTCGTTTGACATCGTTCAGAATAATACTTGGCTGTATATTAAGACAAAGGACTGATTATAATATGGAGAATATGACAGTAAACCAGAATTAAAGAAATCAGTGAAACTTATAAAAATGTCTGCCAGAATTTTATCTCGTAGGTGATGTTCAAGATATTCCAACGCTGAATGTTATAGCTGGTCAAATTGTGAATGAATGTATCTGTGTTGTTCAATGATGAACTAGATATACCTAATACAGTGGTTTTCAAAGTATGTTCCGCGAACCTGTAGGGGTCGTTGAGGCCTGGCCAGGATTCTCTTGCGAGATTTTTCTTCCTACTCCAAGTTAGAAGGAAAGAGTCTTACACTGAATATATTTAACAATATACAACATCTGTTTAGCTGGAATGATATAATATATATTGTGTACTTCAACTGTGTAGTGGTGCGTATCAGTTACACAGTGGTTACTCAAATTATTTTTTCATTTAATTATTAAGATAAGAAAATACATTGTAACATGTATTACATACTTTGTAAACATGGTGAGAGCACTAAACATTTTAGTTACATTATTTTATTTGAATTTACTCTAAGCTAATATGCAGCTAACTTAAATAAGGAGGAAGGAAGGGCCATTCTGTATGCAGTGCGTTGTTAGGGGTCCACAGGGAGGAAGGAGGAATCCCTCTGTAAGAAGTGCGTTGTTAGGGGTCCACGGGGAAGAAAGAGGTGTCCCTCTGTATGCAGTGCGTTGTTAGGGGTCCACAGGGAGGAAGGAAGGGTCCACGGGGAGGAAGGAGGGGTCCGTCTGTATGCAGTGCGTTTGTTAGGGGTCCACGGAAAGGAAGGAGGGGTCCCTCTGTATGCAGTGCGTTG